TGCAACGCATAGGAAATGTGCGCCATAATGACGCATGAGGAGTTTAATGATATTCTGAACTGATGTAACGGTCTGATGCAACTCTCGAAATGTCATGTCGTTACCTCGCCATGAGGTACTCGCCCATCGCCCAAAGTATTCTGATTTCTCACAACTTTCGAATCGACAGAGTCTACCCATCGAGCTCGCCAAAAGACGACCCAATAGGCGAAAGGACTAACTGTATGGGTCGAAATCTGACCAAGTAAGAATCTACGCGAAGAGGGACGACAACGTCATTTGGGACGAAGTTGTATTCGTGTCACGCTATAGCGACGATTACCCTAGCTAAGGCCGAGGTCGTGTATTCATAATGCTTGACCGGCGAATCGGATGTTACGACATTTCAGAGGGTCAATCAGTAATATAATCCAATGGCTTAGGTACTATGGCTGATGCCCGTTAGGTAAATGAGGATATCTAGTATATAATCTAAGTGAGAAGAAAAGGAGAGAGGGCTTAAAAACAAACTTACATAGAGAGGCATTTTCAGAGAGGAAGGATCTTCATCTCTCTCTTCTCGCTAAAGAGAAAGAAGTGTGGAAGCTTAGATCTTCAGTATACAATGTTAGTCCCGTCACATCAAATGTATGAAGGTTAATCTTGTAAAAGATTGGTGACCATTATTATCTATGTATTCTTCATTATTGTTCAATATTATGAAAATCATCATCCTCTTTTCATATCACGGGATTCAATTATTGTTATGGTTAAATTTCATGTTTAGCCATGCTTGAGCAAGGTGGGAAGTTCTGTATGAGTAGGAAATTCTTTTACATCACGAGAGGTTGTGAGTTCGAGTCTATTTGGAAGGGGAAGCGTATATCCGATGACAAATGGATATACGCAAAACACGCAGTAGCCCGGACGGTGTATATGTACTATGTTCTAATCCGCTGGAACCAGTTCAATGTGATCACAGATCCCCCTTTTGGATTTGAACGCCGTGAGCGCTGCAACATCCATTGTAGAAAAAAAAAGCTTCCGGCTCATCCCCAGCAAGTCTATTGAAGTCAATCCTCACCTTTCCTAGGCGGGGAATCACCTCATCTACCGTCGAAAAACCCTCGTCCTCCGCCAGATCCACTCCCTCTCTGAGTAGGGGTGTATCGTTTTCCGGCACCGGAGCACTTGGATGTTGCACTAGCCATCACTTCTTTGGTTGCAAAAATCGGGAATAATAAAGGAAAAAGATAGAGGCCACAAGAATTTTAAGAGAAAGGGAAATGTGAGAAACTAAGGGAGAAGAAAAGCTACGAAAATCTCTCTTGAGCAATTGGGAAACACAACATTCCAATATGAGATTCTCCCCTATTTATAAGGATATGAGTGTTATGAGCGGGAAAACCAAATGCTGCTATTTTTGAAAACGGAAAGGGCACGAGAAACGATGCAACGCATAGGAAATGTGCGCCATAATGACGCATGAGGAGTTTAATGATATTCTGAACTGACGTAACGGTCTGATGCAACTCTCGAAACGTCATGTCGTTACCTCGCCATGAGGTACTCGCCCGTCGCCCAAAGTATTCTGATTTCTCACAACTTTCGAATCGATAGAGTCTACCCATCGAGCTCGCCAAAAAACGACCCCAATAGGCGAAAGGACTAACTGTATGGGTCGAAATCTGACCAAGTAAGAATCTACGGGAAGAGGGACGACAACGTCATTTGGGACGAAGTTGTATTCGTGTCACGCTATAGCGACGAGTACCCTGGCTAAGGCCGAGGCCGTGTATTCAAAATGCTTGACCGACGAATCGGATGTTACGACATTTCAGAGGGTCAATCAGTAATATAATCCAATGGCTTAGGTACTATGGCTAATGCCCGTTGGGTAAATGAGGATATCTAGTATATAATCTAAGTGAGAAGAAAATGAGGGAGGGCATAAAAACAAACTTACATAGAGAGGCATTTTCAGAGAGGAAGGATCTTTATCTCTCTCTTCTCGCTAAAGAGAAAGAAGTATGGAAGCTTAGATCTTCAGTATACAACGTTAGTCCCGTCACATCAAATGTACGAAGGTTAATCTTGTAAAAGATCGATGACCATTATTATCTATGTATTCTTCATTATTGTTCAATATTATGAGAATCATCATCCTCTTTTCGTATCACAGGATTCAATTATTGTTATGGTTAAATTTCATGTCTAGCCATGCTTGTTTGTTCTTATTTTCTATCTCAGATCTAGGATAAATTATCTTTGGCTAGGATTTACCTCAACTCTTCTTATTTAATTAGTTTACGAAAAGACTTAACGTTTTTTAGTCAAACACAAAGCCGAACGTATAGCATCAGCCGTAATTTTGGATTATGCATCAAATAGATATCTACTAAATACAAATTTATAGATTATGTTACACTTTTTGGTAAAAAGGAATAGTCAAACCACAAGCTTACAAATTCATGGAAGATAATATTTCTATTTTCCTTAAAGTTTGTTTCTAGAAGGTGTATATTTTTGTTAAATTTCCTATTCATACAGAAATAACTATTTCATAAGGTGCCTAAAAATTCATACGAGTTTACAGAATTTGAGGGCATTGTGGTCATGTTTAGCCATGCTCCGAGAGGTTGTGAGTTCGAGTCTCCCCAAGAGCAAGGTGGGAAGTTCTTGGAGGAAAGGATGCCGGGGGTCTATTTGGAAACAGTCTCTTTACCTTAGGGTAGGGGTAAGGTCTGCGTACACACTACCCTCCCCATACCCCCTAAGTGGAATTATACTGAGTTGTTGTTGTTGTTGTTGTTGTGGTCATCTTGTTTGGAAGCAATTCAGACATTCAAATTTCCTGGATGACCAATACAAATAAATTGTAGAAAACTTTAAATGGCAAGGGAAAAAAAAGAAATTTATTCACACCGATAATACACAATAAATCAACATATACACGGCTTATACTCTCTCCAGTTTACTTTAATTGTTTTTTGGTTTTTTTTGTGGTTGATTTTTTCGGATATCAAAAAGGAATTAACTTCTTTTTCAAAGTTTCCGATAGAATAAAGAGTCTAGAAGTATTCGTTATATTTCCAATGAACAAATTAAGGTTAATATTGCCAATTTCATTGTTAACTAATGCTAAAAGGTGAATTTCTTAATATGTGTGAAAACGACCAAAAAATCAATTAAAGTAGATCGGAAGAAGTATATGCGGTTTGATTTATTTAATTTGTTAAAAATCCCCTCTGGCCAATTTACTTATCTACTATTGACTTAGCATACCCTTTAAGAAACAATAAATAACATAGTAATTTTCCTATATCACCGGTCACCACTACTATTACATTTTGGAAAACCAATTGGAAATAAGTGGTACTCCCTCCATCCAAATTTATTTGTGCATTATTGACTTGGTACATCCCTTAAAAAATAATAAATAACATGATAATTTTAACATCACTCATGTTTATTATAAGTTGGAAAATAAATTGAAAATAAGTACTTAATACTTATTAAGAAGGGTAAAATAAGTATAAAGTGGTAAAATTATTCATTGATCTTTTAAATTGAACAACTAGAAATAAACTAGCATATTACAATGAACTATTTGCAAAATATGACAAATGTCAATATAGTAAAATTATATCAATTAATCATCACCCAGTAAATAACTGAACTGTTATGTATGTATCAAGCGACGTAATTATTTACGAGGGAAATAATGAAATTTATTTATTGAAATTTGAAATTAGCATAATATGTGCGTAAAATGGAAGCAACAAACAAAAATAGACAGCGAACAGGAGAAGTGTTAAAGGAAGATTCTGGAAGTTGCAACTAAACCATGATTAATTAACAGAGTTTAGTAGGTTTGAGAGAAAGAAAAAAAAAAAACAGAATTTAGTACGTTTAATTATCTATCTCCCACGAGTCACTACATTTTCCCCTCTTTCTCTCTCTACTCGCGCCTCTTCGAGATCCGCCACTCTCTCTACAGCAAAACCCTAGAACTCAAAGCTTCGTAGAGAGAGAAAAGCGAAGAGAGAGAAGCTCAGGGACTATACCAGCAAATCTCTCTCACATTTCCCTGATCTAATACAAATCCAGGTACATCAAATTAATCTCACTCTTTTTTCGTACAGGACCTCCATTGTATTTAATAAAGTTTATTTTTTGACGTGTTTATATTCGTTTTTATATGTGTTGTGGTGAGATATGTGAATAAATGATCACGAGCCTAAGGTTTTGAGATTTTTTTTGTTATTTTTTTTGGGTTAATTTAATACATTTCATGTTTTTTCGTGTTTATATTCGTCTCTACATGTGATGTACTAGTAGATATGTGAATAAACAATACGAGCCTAGGGTTTTGACTTTTTGAGCTTTTATTGTTGTTATTTTTTCTGGTTAATTTTGTATTTAGGCCTTTATTGAGGATGGCGGCAGTAGCAGCAGCAGCACAACCAGTTTCTGCTCAAGTTGTGCGTATTGACATTAATTCCCGATTTTTTCTCAGCTCAGTTCTGTATTTCTTTGTCTAGTTAGATAGTCATTTGAGTTTATTTTTTGTTTGTATATAGGTGGCTAATGCATTTGTGCAGCAATACTATCATATATTGCACCATTCGCCTGGGCTTGTATTTAGGTTTTATCAGGATATAAGCAAGCTTGGACGCCCTGAAGATGATGGCTCCATGGGCATCACTACCACAATGCAAGTAAGCGCCTTCCCCCAATATTGATTTAGTTTTAGGAATTCACGAGCAATGTGCCTAAATATGTTGTTCCTTTATGATTGTGGTTTCTTAATTTTTTATTGGCTGCTTGGACAATTCTATAAGAATTGAGAGGTAGTAGATTGATTAGATGCGGAACAAGGGATTTGAGTTTTGTCGAGTTTTGATTTTTATTTCTGCAGGTAAAGATCACATTTTTTAAGAAGAAATTTATTAAGTCATAATTAGTGTTAGATGATCACATGTAAAAATCACATTTATCTAATTAATATCCACATATCGCTCAGGAAAAGAATGGTTTTAATCCCTCTGTTTCAAACTAAATGCCTTAATTTGACTTTGCACTTATATTGAAAAGATAAAGATCAGAATAATATGGTATTTGTTGAGAGAGCATGTTCTATATCAACTATTAGTTTTTGTATAATAATATAGAGCGAAAAAGTCGTACGGTTTGGAGAATATTAGCTGTTGAGATGTGGATGCATACTTGAATTTGTAATGCAGGTTTTTGGGTTTGGAGAAGATCTATTGCCTTTCAATGACTTTAAAACTAGTCAACATTGAGAGGCTCATGTTTAGGTATAATAGGGAGATAGATTTTTTACTTTCTGCTGCTCTGTGATGTTTTCTCGTTTGAATGATCACTGCTGAAGTTTCTCATGTTCTGTTGTTTGATGTCAAACACAGGCAATCAATGACAAGATACTCTCACTTAACTATGGAGACTTCAGAGCAGAGATTAAGTCTGTGGATGCCCAAGAATCATTCAATGGCGGGGTGCATGTCCTTGTGACTGGATATTTAACTGGGAAAGACAACTTGATCCTAAATTTCTGTCAAACTTTCTTCCTAGCACCGCAAGATAGAGGGTACTTTGTCTTGAATGATATGTTTCGATACGTAGAGAATGTCAGTCAGCATGATGCAGTCCAGGTTCCAGTAACTGATGTTGAGGCTCCTGTCACGCCACAGCAAAGTAATTGAAACAGATGATTGGTTCTTTCGGCAATACCCTAATTAGCAACTGACGAAGTATTTGTTTTGAAGTTGTTGCAGATCCACCTCCAGTACAGGAGAATCACATTCCTGAGCAAAGCACACCTCCAGTGGAGGAAGCTGATGTGGGAGAAGTTTACAACCCACCTGAGAATGGTGATGTGCCTATTGTTGAAGAGGAAGTGCCTGTGTCTGAGGTTGTTGATGAAGTCCAAGATGGCTCTGAAGTGGTAGTTGAATCTGACACCAAAACTGGGGAAGTTCCTAAGAAGTCATATGCTTCAATTGTAAGTGTTCATGGGCAACAAATAACTGAAAGCATATTCTTCTTAGTGTATACTTTCAAGGGGTTAATTTACAATATTAGTACCTCTTACATAGTTAAGACGGACTAGAGCATTTGCTAAGTCTTATTGGTTTTCAAAGATGATTTGGGGAAGGAAAAGGTCTATTGAAGTTTTCTTAGTTAGACAATTTGCAATTTGTTTCAGGTCATGCATCTCAAGGAAAGCGCTGCTACTTTCTCCCCTCCTCCAGCACCTTCTAGGAAGCCTATGGCAAAGAGGGTTGAGCAAGTGAATCAACCAGCCGCAACAGCAACTGATGGCCCAGTTTCCAGCTCAGATAGTGTTGATAACATGAATGACCCAGAAGGAGAAGGCATGCAACTGCAGAGTTTGCTTCCAGTTTTTTGGTTCCATTTTTAATTATATTTCACTATAATTTGTGTTGATTTCTCATTCTTGTGTTTATTAATCTGCCTCCAGCAGCTGATGGCTACTCAGTCTACATAAAAGGCTTGCCTATGAGTGCGACTGTGGCCTTACTTGCAGATGAGTTCAAGAAGTTTGGGCCTATCAAAAATGGAGGCATTCAAGTCAGAAGTAACAGGGTATGACTGTTTGTGCTATTTTCCTGCTAACTAAAGAAAAATCTGCATGTGCATTCTTTTGCTATAAGTTCCTCCTTTGCAATTATGGATTCTTTAATCAATAAACTGTTTTATGTCAGCAACAGGGGTTTTGTTTTGGATTTGTGGAATTTGAAGTGGAGAGTGCTGTGCAAAAAGCAATCGAGGTATCTCATCTTCACCCCCCACATGCATGTCATGTATTATAAGTTGAAGAGGATGAGAAAACAGATGAGACCCCCCCCCTTCCCCCATGCATGTCAGGTTTTATAAGTTGGAGTGGTTGAGAGGAACAGTTGCTAAAATTTCTTTCATCAAGTACAAGTACTTTGGGAAATGTATAAGAAATCAGTGAGCACCCATATGCATTGCTTTTATTAGTAGTGTTGAGTAACCATATTGCTGTGAGCTGTTCTTTTCTTTGAAGTTGAGCTTTTTGTCGTTTCTGCTTCACTGTAAACTGCTTTTGTGGAATTAATTAATTGATTTTGTTTCAATGTCTGTTTTAGTTTTACATTATATTGTTTGATGTTTCTAGTATCCAGCTCTTTGGCAATAATGACTTGGTAACTTTTCTAACTTATTGTTGCATAGCAGCTCTATGAAAGCTCATACTGATTTTGACTGCTTTATGCTGGAAGGTTTCTCAATAAAAGGTGTTGAATTTGAAGTAGTTTGAATGTTAATCTTGTACGATCTGTCAAATGAGTGGGTTGTATCAGATTTTGGAGGAGTTGAAATAGGTTTGAGTCAATGAACAAGTTGTGACCCCACTTCCTGAAATGGGTCATAGCCCGGCCTTTCCAATTCAAAACCAGGTCTTTTTAATATGTAGTTATACAATTGAGCTGCTACATGTCTCAAAACTTTCTCCTCCCTCTCCCAAAACAAAAGAATAATAAAATGTAATGGCAGTTATTTCGCTTGGTGGACTAGTTTGTCCAAGAAAGTCTTTTCCCTTATTGTAATTTCGTCATCTCGCAGCAGATGATCTGGAATTCAAGGCCATGTAATATTTTCACTAATTCTGCAGCTGGAATGAAATTTATGCCAATTAGGTTTATTTGGGTGAGGCTGCATACTATAGACCCTTGTGGTCCGACCCTTCCCCGGACCATGCGCATAACGGGAGCTTAGGGCACCAGGCTGCCCCTTTTTAGGTTTATTTGGGTAATTCTTTACAATTTTATTTGGGCTATTAAGGTATTCCTAATTGACCTAAACTTTTGCATCAGTTGATTTGTGCTGCCTATCAATGAAGTTTACTCCTTGTCTAACCTGTAAAAATTCTGCCGGGTTACATTATATGTTTCTGGGTAAAATTTTGTATTGTCCAAGTTAAGTAAATGTTCCTTGCACAACCCATTGAAGTGTGGCGGCTTTCACTTTTGTGGGTCAATCACATTTGGCCTTAATTAACAGTTCTTATCGTCGCCTCAGCCAGTTCTGCAAATATAAAGCTATCTCCTCTGCATTTATTTTGCACTATTTTCCTTTTCGTAATCTCTAAAAGAGGTTGACATGTTTGTAGATTCAGAAACTAGATTTCTTCTTTCCTATTTGATACTATGCATTCCAAGTTGTTCCCTGTAGCAACTTTAAATTGTGCAGTTCAAGGGGGATGGAAATTACTTTAGAGACAAGAATCGTTAAATCTGGTTTGGAAGATTTCATGTGGTAGGTCTCGGAAGCAGATAGTGGTTTTATTGAATATGCACTTTGGGTCATGTTGGTATGGTTATCATTTAGGCTAGTATGCATGCTAGTACTCCTTGCTTGTGTTATGCCTCATCCAATTTGTTCCTTTGCCCCCACTCAGTTTTCTTTTGGGCTTCCTTTGCTTCAGGCTTCTCCAGTTCTAATCGGTGGACGGCAAGCTGTGGTCGAGGAGAAGAGGTCTACTAATTCCCGAGGTAAGCTTAACGGCTGTCCTTTGTAAGTGATTAGATTGACGGATGCGTAGCCAATAGGAAAAATTTAAATAATTGCATATTCGACATGTGTTGTGTTGGGTATAGTAAAGGACATGTTTCTATAATTACTGCGTCCTTTCTGATTGAGGAGAATATTATCTCGTTTTTCTGCTTTCCTGGCAAAGCATTCTTGAAAAGAGGAAGCTGAAATGGCATTTTTGAGGGGCCGTTGATGTTTTGGTTTTAATTTATACATAAGCGATATCCTCATTTATGTACATAAGGGAAATGGATATTGAAGCGGATAATGGAGCAGTGGGTAGATGCCGTAGGGATACCCTGCTTTATTATGAATCTGAAGAAGGAAAATGTCTAAAATTTGGACTTCACGAATCACTCCTAGAAAGTGTAGCAACATTATTACCTTTTTACAATGAATTTAATTGTCTATTGCAGGTAACACCAGAGGTAGGTTTCAATCTGGAAGGGGTGCTGGATTCAGGAACGATGGTGGAAGAGGACGAGGAAATTATGGAGGTGGCAGGGGTTATGGTCGAGATGATTTCAATGGAAGAAATGAGTTCAACAATAGGGGTGGCAGTCGTGGGGGGTTATCAAACCGCGGAGGGGAAGGATATCGGCGAACTGACAACACAGGTGGGCGAATGAATCGTGGTGGTGGGGTGCCTAATGGAACAGCTAAAGCGGCACCGCGCTATTCTGCTACAGCTTGAATAGTAGTAGCTTAGAGCGAAATGAGAGTTGGTATTATTATTTGAATCGACATTTAAATGATTCTGTTGAGGTGGAAAGAAATTTTGTCAGGAGCTATGATGTTTTCCCAAGAGCTCTATTTGCTAATTTTTCTAGTTAATGGTTTTTTTTTTGGTTAATCATAGGTGAGATAGGAATGGAGTTCTTAGAAGATTCCTTTGTGTAGCATATCTGAGCCCTAGGAAGAGATTATCCCGTCTTTTCTGGGCCTTTTTGTATTGAATTATTGTTTGGGGCTTTTTTACTTGTGGAAATTTATTTATTTTAACCGTGATTTTGCATGGCTTCTACGATCAGATACAGCGCAAATTGTCTTTTCGGTTGTTTGTCTTTAATGTAGTATCGAAAAAAAATGTAGTTTTTTTTTTTTTCAATAAAGAAGGTGTCCAGTTTGGTTGCGCATCTCAGCAATTACATCTGACGTTGCTATTTTCTATCAGCATAGACATTAGATAATTTTATTCATCAAAACTTTAGGCAGACGCGAAGAAATTGTCTAGTATTGTTTTGTCTTCGTGCAACATATCCGTAAGAATCATGTACGACATAGTAAATGTTTACAGGCAAAAAAAAAAAAAAATCTAAATTCGTCCACTTGCATTGGACAAGTAATAACACACTTACTAATGTCATGATTTTCTATGCATTACTATACATAAATGCATAACTAATACAAGTATTAGCTATACACAAGTTGAAAAAATATACCAAACAAGGTATTAGTAATGCATAGAGCTAATGCTTGCATTATTTTTTCTAATACCTCCTACCAAACGATCCCTTACTGATCGGTTACTTCATAAGCATCTGAAAGGAGACATTTAACGCGGCTGCCTTTAAGAGTTAATCTGCAAATCGCTAAGCAGTTTTGGGTACTATTTACTGTTAACGAGAGAGTTCACTTGCAAACAAGATGGTTGTATATAGGAACCTCTAAATCTATGCACTAACAATTTGAAATGCATCCCGTACTCGAGATGAAGATACAGCTGACTTACAGACTACACGGAGTGACGAAATTAAATACCAGAAAAAATAATGTTGCTCAATCATGAATTCTGAAGTACATTACTACCCACAAAATTGCCAATATCTAAACTCTGACAGTAGCCTTCTGAATTAATAGAACTTGCTATATTATTTTAACTTCTGATCCATCCATAAAAATTCAACACCGTATAGACAATTGAAAACTAAAACACCAAACTACTGTTGATATAAAACGTGAAGACCTGGATAGACAAATTACTAGCTAAGGCATAGAAAAATGAGCACCAATTTTCCGTCGGAGAGAGCAACGACAAGTCATGTTAAGGGATGCTTGTAGGAATAGCTTGTTAAACCCATGAAGCATAAATCCACCTGACCTCATTTATTTAAAGACCGAAATTACATGCCTGCACGTACTCATTTTCATAATCCACATACTTTGTCCAAAGGGGCCGAAATTGGTTCATTGCAATATCAAGCCATGGCTTCATATTCCCATTAAAGTGGACAACTGNAAGAAACGTGCAACACGACAACAATCCAAGTAACACAAGAACTAACCATGTAAACTACATTTTTGGAATAAAGTATAACTACTCCCTCTGTTCCAATAAACATGCACTCTTTGCTTTTTAGTTTATCCGAAAAGAATGATACTTTCCTATATTTGGAAACATTCGAACTTTAAACTTCTCAGTTTACTCTTAATGATAATAGTTTTAGCCACAAAAATATGGTATGTTTAAGACTACAAGTTCCAAAAGTCTTCCTTTTTTACTTAAACTTCGGGCCTAGTCAAACACTGTCACATAAAATGAAACGGAGGCAGTAAATCTTACCAGACTCTGCCAGTAATGGTATTCCTCAGTGAGCTTCTCCCTCCTCCAAGCATCCAAGTCAAAGAAGTTCATTCCATAAGCCCATGCACAAGCTTTGGGGTTGAACTTCTCCTTGATCAAAGGATGTGAGAAATTCATGTATTGTGCATAACGATGGAATGAACCAAAACATGTCTCCACAGCTCCATTCACCTTACCATCCATATCTATCTTCCATAAACCTGTCAAATCCTTCTGAACAACTATATCATCATCCAAGAACAATATTCTATGCAACTTGGGGTACAGTTCTGGTAAATAGAATCTAATGTGGTTCAATATTGAGAGATACTTCGGGTTCCTGAATTTCATATTAGTTGTATCCTTTGTTGCATTCTCGAGCTTATTCTCGAAGTAAAACTGCTGTAGTTTTGCAGATTCAAGTTGTTTAAGTACTGGAACATAAGAAGAATTCAGGAACTTATAATCCTCGACTGACTTCACTTCAATAAAAGCTCCATTATAGTCTTTCATCTTGAACATAACTTGCATAGCCCCAAGATTCATTTTATCAGTCACCACATGAAACACATGCTTCGATGGGTCTTTTGAGTGTTTAACTGCCGAATTCACCACAACTGAAGCAGCAAGCACATTGTCAGAGAAAATTGCATAATGATAAAGACTAGGATCCTCGAATTCTGGTGGAGTAGGCTTCATATCATCAGTATACTTATCTGGATGTGCGATTCGCTCTTCCATTAACTTCATTGCCAAACAATGCACGCTCTTCGGGATCGACTTTGCAGCAATCAAGCTCGAGAAAGCACCTTGCTTCTTCGCCTTCGTTAGCTGCTCATTGACAGCAAAAATTGTGTCTTTCAGCTTCTGAATCTTTAATTGATTATCAAATGACTCTTTTGCCTCAGCAACAACTTGTCGGGTGACTTTAATCCGTTCCTTCACCTCTTTCTCAAACTGCCTAAGCACCGACTCATTCATAGAGTTCCCGTCCGAGTCAAACAGTGTGCGGTATGAAGGTTTTGAAATCAGATCTGTAAAGTTCCTAGATAACTCAGCAAAAACTCGAACGAGCTTTGAGTTCTCGAGCTTCAGCTTACGAGCATAGGAAGCATAAGCTAGAGCCAATGCACGGTGATCATCTGCTTGCTTCTTAATTTGATCAAGCCTCGGCTTCAATGGATCGGATTTCAAAGCTAAAACTGATCTTCGTAGTGATCCACCTCTATATAAATCATGTGAATTTCCCTATTCAACCATAAAAACCAGGCCGTTAATACAAAATCAGAAGTAAAAAGCTACCAAGGGATAAAGAAAGATCTATGAAAAATTATGCAATTAAGGCATATGAAACTCATAAATCGTAAAGACCTCTTTGAATCACTGACACGTAAGCACAGAAACGTAATTTGTGATTCATGAAATGATAATAAACAATTAAAGCTTTCTAGATTAAGATCTTAGTAACTTGAAAGAATATGCGTACTTAATAAGAAAAAAATCACAAAATATCGAGTGTATAGTTTTGCTAAAGTTAAAGCTTTCAGATTGAGATCTTAGTGACTTAATAAGAAGGAAAAACTCACATCAATATTGAGTATTGAGTTTCACAACAATAAAACACAATCAAGGTTTTCCAGATTGAGATCTTAATAACATGATAAAATGTGCATACTTACTAAGAGAAACTTCACAAAAATATAAAGTAAACAGTTTCATTAAAGTATCAGAATAAAACATGTCCAGATTGAGATATTAGTGACTAGAGATGAAGTGACTACTTAATAAGAAAAAACAAATCAGAAAAATACAGAAACAAATACAATTGAAGCTTCCAGATTGAGATCTTAGAGACTTAATAGAAAAATAAATCACAATTCCATTGAGTATAGAGTTTCACAAGATAATCAATCAAAGGTTTTCAGATTGAGATCTTAGTAACTTGATAAAATGTGCATATTTAGTGAGATAAAAGTAACAAAAATATTAAGTAAGGAGTTTCATAAAAAAAAAATCACAATAAAAAATTTCCAGATTGAATTATTAGTGACTAGAGAAATGTGACTACTCAATTAGAAAAAAAAATACCAAAAAAATTACAGAATAAAGAGTTTCTCATGACCACCGACAGTTTCATAGGCTAACAGACAGCAAATCAATGCTCTTCGATGAAGTGAGAAAGGAGAAATGTTAGGGAAAGTACTTACGACGGAGAGATCGGAAGGATCGGAGGAGGAAGTGAAGAGAAAAGAGAGAGCTAATAAAAGGAAAACAGAGACAGTAAGAAAAGAGGCGAAGAGTTTGAACGTGAGCCGAATTCCGGTGCCGGAAACGGCGATGCTCCGATCGGAAAATGGAGTTCGGTAGGAGCTCCGGAGAGCCATTTTTCGTTGGAGTGAGAAATCTCAGAGAAGGATATCTGGGTTTCACTCTTTTGGAGTATTTATTTATTTATGTGTGTGATTATTTCCCACCGGGGGAGGAATGAAGAAATTGGAGAGAGGCAATTGGCGAGTGAAGAAGAAACGCGGATTTGACGGTGGAGTTTGGGTGTGGGTCCCGATCTGTTAAGCAATGTGGGTCCCGATCTCGATCTAGCTTTATTTATGACTTATGCAGTGTTTCATTAATCGCTTAAATTACACACTGAAGGTTTTGTAATTATTGGCATTGTGCTTTATTAATTTTATTGATAATAGTAATTTTTTGGAATTCAGTAATAATGAAACTAATTAGTATTTAGTCATACTGAAAAAATAATGAATTTTTCAAGTTTTACTATAATTACATTTTATATACCCAATTACCATTTATGTACATTTTAAGGAAATTAATGATAATAAACAACTATTAGAAGTTCTGGGCAGGCTTTTGTATTTTGGCGTATTTCATCTCCATATATTGTCTTGGTCTATTCGTTTTTGCTATTAATTTTAACTTCAGTATTTGTTGCCAATTACTGGTATCCATTTTGACCCATAAATACATGCAAATCTTAAGAGTCTTGTGGTGTTACGCTATTCATCTTTTCAATTGTGTGTTTTGGCCTTCTGTTTTGGGGACTAAATCAAGCTTGAGTAGTCTTTTGTAGTCTACACGTGTTAATATTGACCAATCAATATATAATTGAAAAAAGTATTTGAAGTTAAGACCAATGAGCAATTGAAAAAAACATTATACCACACTTCTCTTTCCACATTCCAATCCCTAATTTCAGTAATGTAAAGCAAAGGAAAAGAGAACAACAATTCCACTATTGACATTCATTAAAAAACTTTGAAGCTTTGAATTCAAATTTGGGTTTTCAAAAATCATTATTTGTTTAGATTAGGTGTTGTTGCAAACAATTGAGAATATTGTTTGGAGTTTATATCTCAATTTTGAGGGTGTTTTGGTGAAGATTAGACTTGATTTTGGTTGAATTTCAGATTGAAACTCGAAGAAGAAGAAGA